GTGCTGCCTGAGAGTTCGGTGGTGGACGCTTTCTTGTCGATCTCCACCAACAGAGTGCTGAACAAGCAGGTCAGGGATTTCATCAGGAATGGTGAGGACGCGTCGGCACTGGAGGCTCTCAACCAGATCGTGACGAACTCTCGATCTGGGAGGAGGCATAGGGAATCGGATGTTTCCCGTACTCCTTCTCGGAGGTCCGTTAGGACCGTGGACACCAGGGATTCCAGAGAGTCGAGGAGGCGCAGATACCGTCCGCGGCGCGAGGATGATCGCGACAGGAGGAGGGACGATGCTCGTGATCGTCGTGATGATGATTCACTCGATCGGGAGCGAGATCGAAGGCGAGATGATCGCAGGAGATCCGAAAGGGATCGTGATAGGGACCGTGCGCGGGGCGGACGTGACCGGAGGAGACGTGACGATAGCCGGTAGGCTGAGTCACGAGGATTGCGGCCGATAGGCTTGCGTCCATTCTCCAATGGTCGGCGCGGTGCGGAGGTGGTGATGTTCCTCCCGGACCGCTGAGGCGCGGAGGTCATGTCTCTCCCATACCGCTGCTGGGCTGCTGGACGTGTTCATCAGGAAGCAGTGTGAGTGAGAGGGAAAGCAAACTGATGGGGGGTTACTCCCGGGTTTGCGGAATTCAAGCATTTTTCAGGTACGCATGGTCAGGGGTACCTCTTGCCGGTAGGCGAGGGTACTAATGGACATACGTTATCTTTTATTTCATGGCTTCTGATAAGAATTAAACTTCTTGCATTGTTGATGCAAACAGTTGTGACCTAATGTCGTCATGTGGACTTTTCCACAAGGTTTGTTGGACAGCGTTACCCCGATTAATTCGGGGTGGTGGCGGGAAGTTAATGCCCGGGATGTCGCGCAACTGCCTTTGTGGGTTTGCTCCACCGCTGACGGCGGTAGTGTCCAGCTGTTTGCGGACACATGCGAGCAGTTAAATCCTATCAGTAAATGGCACGCTCCACCCGTCATATGACGGGCTCCTCGTGAGGGGGGTGTGATTAGCCATGGTTAATATCATCATCAGGGACGTCGCGTTAGTGACCGACCTGTGGTGTTTTGGCTCAAGTTTTGGATCCGGCGCGCCTCGGATGAGCGTCGCCGGGCCCTCACGTCGACCGCCTTCGTGTCGGAGGAGAAAGAGACTTCGGCCCGGGGTAGGTTGGTGGGGATCGCCCGTGCGGTTCATCGTCGATCTAGGTTGCGGGTATCCTTTTCTTGTTTGGTTTGTTTCCTTTTGGTTGTTGTTCTCTGGTGTGTGGGAAACCCTGATCTTTGGGACCGGGGATTGGTTTGCTTTTGGGGAACCTTTCTTTTGTGGCTTGTTTACCCCAACTTACCCATTGCCTGGGCACAGGCTCGTGCCCGAATCACACATTATAATAGCTACGATGAGTAGACAACATTTCCCAAGCATGAATGTTCAATTTTTCAAGGGCACCCGTCCCTGTGGGAGTAATTAGACAATTAGAGCAGTTAGAACAACTAGAATAATCGAACATACATGAACCTGGAGATTCCCAGAAGGCACCTGTCCCTTTGAGAAGACTGATCATAAGAAGTAGAATTAGTGTAGCAGACAATGAATCCGGAACTCCTCAAAAGGGCCGCCCCGTTGGCGATACTTGGACAATGCGGGTAGTTCCAAAACACCTGAAGTTGAAAAAGAGAGAGACCATGAATCAGAATTTCCCCCAAATTTGGGAATGACCAGTTGCAAAAACAAGAGCCTGGAATTCCCGTCTTTTTGGGAATGAGAATAATCATGAGAAAAATATATCAGAAGTAGAACCAACAGAAAAAACTATGAACCTGGAATTCCCCAAAAGGCGCACGCCTCTCTTGGAATATGGAGAAATCATGGCGATGATAAGTAGGCTAGTATGCAAAACATGAATCTTCAATTCCTCAAAGGCACCCGCCCCCTTGGGAATAATAAGAAACAACAGAACATTTAGAATAACTAGAAAGATTAGAGCAAACATGAATCTGGAGATTCCCTAAAGGCACCCGTCCCTTTGGGAAGAATGATTATAATAAGTTCATGAGTAGATGTGCTAGACTAGAAAATGAATCTGGAATTCCTCAAAAGGGACCCGTCCCGTTGGGAATAATTGGAATAATTTGGGCACGCCCAAGAACAGAACATATTGTACGTAGAGTAGTTAGAGAAACAATGAATCTGAAAGTTCCCCAATTTGGAGAATAAAGAATTGGAAAAAGCAAGAATCTGGAATTCCTCGCAAGCACCCCCCCCCCTTTGGGAATGACAAGAATAATGGGAAGACGTACAAGGCACCCACCTCTTGTGTAGTAATTGTTGTACCTAGAACAACAAAGGTGCCCGTCCCTTGTAAATAATAATGATAGTAGTATTTTACAAGACTGATGATAAGTAGACTAATCAGCGAACGTGAATCTTGAACTCACTAAACGGCACCTTCCTGTTTGGGACCAAATAGAAAATAGGGAAATAATCTAGAACTTATTAAATGGGAGCTGCTCATTTGGGAATGGCTCGAATAGTTTGAACAATGCGGGAACCACGAATCTCGCCACCAACAGGCCCCATCCCTTTTGACACAATTATCCTACCCAGGGCAAACACGAGCTTGGAATTCCCCAAGACGCACCCCAGCTCCCTAGGGATTCAATTAGAATAATATAGAATGATTATGATAAGTAGAATACTTAGCAATCAGGGCTCTTGAATTCCCCAAAAGTCACCCGTCCCTTTGGGAATAATGATGAGAATTAGAAGAGTTATGATAAGTAGAATAGTTAGAAAACATGAATCTGGAATTCATCAAAAGGCACCCCACTTTTTGGAAGAAGTAGAATACTTAGATTAGTTCAAATAATTAGCACAAACATAAATCTGGAGTTCCCCCAAAGGCACCCGCCCCTTTCGCAATAAGTATGTAAATGAGAATAATTGTAATTTTGTGGGGAAGCATACCCAATAATTAAGACAGTAGGACAAAGATGGGTTTGGAATTCTCCAAAAGCAACCCGTCCCTCTGGGAAGAATTATAATAATTAGAACAAGTAATATAGTTATGATAAGTAGAATAGCTGGCAAACATGGATCTTGAATTCCACAAGACACACCCGCCCCTTTGGGAATGATTAGAATGAGAATAAGTTGATTAGTTAGAATACTATAGTTGAAACACACATGAATCTGGAATTGGGATTTCCGAAAAGGCACCAGTCATTGGGAATAGCTAGAACAAAGGAACTAATTAGGGGCGGATTCCCCACAAGGGGCCCCGTGCCGTTGGGAATGCGTGCTACAACCAGAATAATCAGAGCAGAATGACCTGGAAACCACACTGGACTTCACCAAATGGCTTGAAAACAAAGAGAATCCTTAGATTTGCTTAAGTTGTTAGAATGAGTAAAATAATTAGATCAACCATGAATGTTGATTTCCCCAAAAGGTACCCTCCTGTGGGAATACATCAGAGAGTGATGATTGCTATGAGAAGTAGACTAACTCGAACACATTTGACCCAAAATGCGCCCGCCCCTTTGCGAATAAATGTAAAATCACGTAGAATGATTCGAAAACACGTGAATCTGGAATTCGCCAAAGGGCAGCCGTCCCTTGGTGAAAAATATGTAATAATCAGAATAGCTGTAAGAATTAGGACAATGCACCTGGAATTCCCCAGAGCGCGCCCGTCCCTTGGGTAATAAATAGAACAAGTATAAATTTCAATGAGCTAGAAGAAATTGTTTCGGAATTCCCCAACAGTCCCCTGCCCCTTTGGGAGTTTCTAGAATGATTCGAAAATTAAACAGAAAAAGGGCGTTTTGTTTGTGTTAGTGTACTTGGTGTGTGTGTGTGTGTGTATTGCTTGACACTCTGTTTGAGTGCCCTTTGTGCTCTCAGTTTCTCTCTCTCTCTCTCTCTGCTTGTGTTTGCGTGCGTGCGTGCGTGCGTGCGTGCTTGCGCGCGTGCGTGCGTGCGTGCGTGCGTGCGCGCGTGTGTGTGTATCATGAGTGAGGGAAACATCCCCCCCGCGCGTACCACTTTGGGGGAAACAATCATCCCGCGCGCGCACGCCACATAGGACCTAATCTTCCCTGCCACGGGGGGGGGGAGATTGCGTGAGCCCCTGTCAAAATTAGCAGCAGGCGCTTCTTGAGGCTTTTGCAGTGGTTTCCAGCAAAACCACAGCAGCGGCTACAGGGCAAAATCTGGGGCTCGGCCCCGAGCCGTGTGGTTGGTGACAAGCGCCAGTGGCCTGACTATAGCGCGTGTCACGTGCGGCCAGCCTGCCAGCTGCTGACCAAAGCACTTGGCCATGATTCAAAACCAATGGGATCCCATCTTGGGGTAGGTGAATTCACCACTCATTTTAGAACCTATTTTAGTGGGGATTGGGATGTTCACTGGGGGTACGATTTGGGTTTTGACCCATGGCCACCTGTTGCTTGGCAGAAGAGAGCTGCAAGTGCATTGAAATTCGGGAAGCTGGCGATGAGGATAGCTTGATGCCACTGACTTTGAGACATCCCTCACTTCTGCCCTTTGTGCGGCCTCGCCTCCGAAATTGAAAGGGGCAAATATTCCGCCGCTGATTTGACTCAACAAATGGTACCCCAAATTGGCACCTGGTATATGGAAACAAGACACCAACACTTGCGTACCCCCAGCTGTTTAATTTTGAGCCACACCCCATTTCCAGACCCAACTGTCTAGGGTTTGATTCCCCATTCTTTTCAGCCCATCGTTCTTTCCCAAAACCGGATCCGTTTCGCCTGGGTTTCCGGAGGTTTTCTAGAAAGATTCGGATCCCTGGGTTCAGAATGGACATGGAAGGCAAAGGGAGATTCCAGAAAGAGCTCCATTTTCACACCCCGCCTATCTTATGACACTTCGCAGAAGGTACCCCTAGACAATTGACTGCCTCGCCATGCCTATGGAAATGGAAGGTACCAGGCAACTGACTCAGCGACTCAGCGCGCGCCAGGTCTGCAGCTCTACGCATCGATGCCCTGGCGCCGCGTGGCCCGGGACGCCGTGAGCCACGGCGCCGCCCTGGCCGCGGCCGCGGCGGCCGGCGGGCGGCGCTGGCGCGGCGCGCTGCGCCTCTGGCCGCGGAGGGCGCAGAGCGCCAGCGTGGCGATGGCCGCGGCCAAGGCGGCCGGGCGGCGGCTTGGCCGAGTTTTTGGTTTTAAATGGCGACTTGGGTGTGGGCCGCAAAAACATGTGCCCGAAACGTGTGGTTGAGACAGCTCGAGTTTTCCGAATTGGACCCACAGAAAGCTTTAATTTGTTAAGGGGTCAACAGCAACCTTCAGACTTTAGCTTTTTGGTTGAAACAGCTCGGATTTTCTGAATTGGACTCACAAGTGAACTTGTTGCAGAGGGGACGGCAACCAAGCATTTGCTGTCGTTGAAGTTACCACTTGCGAAAACGTCTGACAGAGGGTTGCTTCGTGTTAGAAAGTACCCAGAGAGGGCAATTCGCCAATGCAAGGTTCTCCCCAGGCTGTCCTACTGGAGCATTGTTCGTTCTGTTCCTTGAATTGCATGCTTCAGCTATTCTCCCATCACTTGGAGTAACTTTGCCGCCAAAGACTGCGCAGGCTGTGTACATGTATGTGATTATGTGTCACTGATCCGATGTTGGCCGAATTGAGGCCGAAGTTGCAAGCTTTCCCATCAAGATCACTGCCTCGCATTTGTTTGTTCATTCAGAACAAGTTGCTTTCCAGCAAACTTCGGGTTCTCATGCCTTTCGCATTTTCCACGTTTTTGGCGCTCAGCCTCCATCGCGGCAAGTGTTTTCGATCCCTTTCTCTTGTTTACTGCCCGCGCACGCGCGCGCACATGCGATAAGCCGAGGTGGGAGATGGCCTGGCTCTTGCACAGCGGCATGGCCTCCAGAGGCGCCAGTCCCGACTGGCGCACCCACACTGTGGCGGTTGAGAAGACCAAGTGGCGACACTCGGTGCAGGCAGCATGGGTTGATGAGGATGGAGAGAGAGAGAGAGAGAGAGAGAGAGAGAGAGAAAGAGAAAGAGAGAGAGAGAGAGAGAGAGAAAGAGAGAGAGAAAGAGAAAGAGAAAGAGAAAGAGAAAGGGAAAGAGAAAGAGAAAGAGAAAGAGAAAGAGGAAGAGAAAGAGAAAGAGAAAGAGAAAGAGAGAAAGAGAAAGAGAAAGAGAAAGAGAGAGAGAGAGAGAGAGAGAGAGAGCGAGAGCGAGAGCGAGAGAGCGAGAGAGCGATTTGACCATTATCGATTGTTGGCGGCGTTCCAAAAGGTGCTGGGCAAGAATGAGCCCTCCCCCTTGTTTTGATGTTCTCAACAGTTCCCAAACTGGCACATTGCTTGGGGAGTGATATCTACGGAGTTTATACGATCTCTACTTTTGTTTCTGCGATTCCTGTTAGGCCGCAAGTCAACTCAGCTTATGGATTGGTGGTTGGATTTGAACCCCTGGCAGAGGGTAAATGGGAAATCACTCGGTAACCCCCCAGTCCAAACCACCAGTCGGGCCTGAAAGGTAGCCTTTCCAAATTCCCCCCCTCCACATCCAGGTTTCATCCCCTTTGCAGTCGTGCCGTTCATTTGAGCCTGGCATGGATCATTTTTTCTGCCAGATCCTGGCCGTGGATTCTTTGACCCTGGCAGCACTGCTGGGTGCTCAGGCGCCGTGATGTACTTTTCTTTGGTCTTGTTTTCCGGGGATCAATTTGATAGGGCTGGTTTTTTTGTCGAGAAATCAGCGGAGTTTCAAGTTTCAGGTTTCAACAAGAAGCTTCAGAGATCAAGCTTGAAGAGCTATGCATCAAGATCTTTGGCTGGTTTGTTTGCTTGGTGGCACGTGCCTGTTGTGCCGGTTATTGGACGCTGCATGATCTCCATTCGTTAGTGTGTGTGTGTGTGTGTGCGTTTACAGTTCAAAAATACTTTTGTTATATGTTGCGAGGTGGTCTGGCAACGAACAAGGCGAGTAATTTAGTCTACAACTGCAAGATGTGACTCATTGCGCAGACGAATGCAGCCACGCCCCGATGCACATGAAGAAGGGACGGCTCTGTTATTGAAAGAAAGAACACCCAAGATCTGGGTTTGTCTCTAAATGGGAATCCCCTAAGCTGGGTGGTTTCCTTTTGGCTTCCCTTCAAACCAAGCCCAGCAACACCCTTTCTGGCAGTTCACCCCCTTCAACCGAGGTCCCAATACCCTGTCGCAGGAATGGCACCGCGGGTTGCAACTGCTCTTCCTGGCCCGGCCGCTGCGAACCTCGGGCCACACCTATTTGGGGCGTGGATGTTTTTGCGCGGATGGATGTGTTTGCTTTGGTCTTCCTGCAAATCACACAAGCAAAGGAGTTTGAATGAAAGGCCAACATAGGTCTCAGAATGGGATTTGGTCGTGCTTGTCTTGGTTTCCAATCAGCCCCTCCCCTCCTACAGGAAAGGCCGATGTGTCGCAGGTTCCTTAGGTGGGGGCCTCTTTTGGTTGGTTCAAGGGGCGCCAAGAGGAATTTTCCGCCATTGTATCAGAGGCCCCCCTTGGCAGACAAATCTAACAGCCTGCGAAGTTCTGGCTCATCAGCTCGGCAATGGTTTAAACTGACGATCATATGAATCATATACGGACATATATATATATATATATATGTATAGGGTATGTAAGGGGTAAATAGCACACATCACAAGTAGCTACTCCAGGGGCATGTGATGGCGATACGTCGGTCCCAGGGAGCCATCCGGATTATCGCGGTCTGCGTGATCCTAAAGCCAAAACCCTAAACCGAACAGAGCCCCGGCGGCATGACGCATTCGAATGCGGAAGTCGCACACCACACACCGGGAGAAAACACCTGACCTTAAAGCTAAACTCTAAACTTGAACCCTGAAGCAAGAACATGGACCCTAGCCATCCCAAACGATTGTGGCATCCTTCGTTGCACATACACACACGGCCCTCACTTGTCCCAGCAACCTCACTCAACCCGCTGGAAACTTAGATGGCCAAAGACAACGCTTTTGGCTATTGTCTGTGGCATCATCCTTCGGCGGTTCTTCGGCAGGGGTGGCTTTGGACGAGGGCTGCTACAACGCCTGCAGTGGGCTGGGCTGGGCGCGGGCGCTAGGCCTCTCAGACGCGATGCGGCTCCAAAGTCTTGAACCCAGCGCTGTGAGCATCGTGGCGGCAGGGTGGGCAGAGGGGCAGGGGGCTCAGAAGCGTGCGCTTGCGCGTGCGGGTGGGTGAGTGGGTGGGTGGGTGTGTGTGTGTGTGGGTAAGGTTCGGTATACCCTGGAGCTGGTTTGGTGTGGTCAGGCCGGTCTCTGCAGTTTCCTAAGCGACGAAGCTGTGCAGATGATGTTCTCCTAGAAACTCTTCAAGCCCCTCATCAGTAGAAAGTCAAAACATGGACTCAAACCATGCCACTAGTTGAAATGAAAGCTCTGTTCAACATACTAAGCCAAACGGAACCTGGAGCCCCAGGCGCCCATGCAGCAGGAATTCAAGCTCCAGAAATACGATTCTAGGTCGAATGGAGCTCAGATCCACGGCAGGCACCACCAGCAATGCCAAGAATTGTCACTCAAATCCCATCTCAACTTGAGGGCAGCCACCTCGACTTGATCACATCCGACAGGGCTTCTCGGTTCGCTTGCAGCCATCAGACGTCTAAGTGTGTTCAGCCCATTCGGGGGACCTAGAAGCAGCCATCCCGCAACGGAGAGCGCGAAAACGGAAGCGAAAAAAACCAACCATGCAAACAAGAGATTGCCGTTGGAACGAAAAACGAAAAGTCCATTCAACCAAATCCAAACTAAAGCTAAAGTGCAAACGGAAAACGGCACAGCCGTCCCGGGGTCACGCCCTTGCTCACGTTCCTTCTTCTTCCAGCTGTTTATCCCATTTGTCTTCTTTGTTTGCTTTGTCTCCTTCCACCAGGTGTTCTTCTTTTTCGTGATGGTCTTGCTGTTTGTATTCGTCCTCTCCGTCGTCTTCGTGTTCTCTGTCCGGGACTTTGTCCTCGTCTTCGTCTTGCTTTCCTCCTCGATTTCCCCTTCCGCTTGTCCCTATACTCACTGTACTTCCTGTTCGCCGATTTGCGGAATGGTTTAGGTCTTGTTTAGGGTTGGGATCGCAGCCTTAAACTTTGGTTCCCTTGTGTTCCTTGTTAGTTTCGCTTCGTTTTGGTTCGCTTTGCTGTCTTTCATTTCTGTTGGGCCTCGCCCCGAGTTCTAGTAAACCCTGGCTCTAGCTTGGAGTAGCACAGCGGTTCAGGCACTCGATTCGCCAGTCGATCCTGACTGGCCTACTTTCTCGGGAGTGTACTTGTGTTCACCCCGTCGAACTTTCGGGTGTTGCCATTGCCTGCAATCAGGGAGTTCTGAACTCAAGCCGAACGATGGTCTTCGACCCTTCGGGCGGGGCCAGGGGCGGGCCGGGCGCCGTCCGTTGCGAGGCCTTGCTGCGTCGTGCCCGGGCGCGGGGTCGCCGGACTTGCTGGCCCGGCTGGCGGCCGTGGCATCTGCACGCCTGGCGGCAAGCGCTGGCGGCCGCGGGAAAAGGCGAGCGCCAAAGCCAGGGGGGCTGCAGACGTGGCACGCAGACCTGGAGTTGTGCTAAACCTGGGTCGGATTGAAAACCAAGGAGCTGAGTGAAGGATAGTGTTCCCTCAACTGCGTGAATACCGTGGAATGTTTGATTTCAACCCGAAGAGTTGTTGGGAAGAAGGTGCCTTGATCAGCACGAGTCAAGATTACCATGAGGCAAGAACAGAACTCCAACTGAACGTACAACTATGTGGGCGGCGGGCGCGTAGTCGTTTTTCTTGATTCCAGTGCCGGAAGGGCGCTTGCTGTTTCACCCCATTCGCTGAGCCGGATCAAGACCGTACCTCCATAGGGTTGAGCCCGTGCGAAGAGCTCCAACCAGAGCATGACGCCAACGCGGCCAACTCCAGCAAGTCCATGGTCAATTTGTGTCAACATGTTGTGCTCAGCAGGTTGGTCAAGGGCCTGACCTGATTCCACATCATGAGATCGCGCTGAAGCCATGTTCCGGCTGGCGTGTGCTTGGGCTCTGGCAGGGGCGGTGGCCCTAGATGAGGAGAGCGAGTTGTTCCTTATCCAGGTCGGGGTGCAGGCGTTCAGCGGCCCTGGTGCGGTGCGCAACCTCGTGTCCGGGGTGCAGGCAGAATCAGAAATAAGAGAAGAGCGACAAAGCCAACTATAGCTCTGATATGTTTGACAATCTCCCTTTTGAAAATCAGCCGCAGCTTTGCTAAGGCCTGTCATGCCAAAAACAGATTGATGAGATCAGCCGCCGCAGCCTTTCAACAGCTTATCGTAGGCGTTCAACGCCTCGAGTGCCGTGCGCAACATCGTGTCCACCATCCGGGACGATGTGCACAAGGTGGAGGAGAACATCCGGCGCAGGCTGACGGGCGACCAGTCCGGGAACGCTTCGGAACGGGACTCGTCCGCGGTCTCCAAAGCGGAGGCGCCGAAGAAGCCCGGACAGAAGCAGACGCAGCCGGCGCAGGTCGGGCGCAGCTGATTTGCCCTGCTTGGATGTTGGGGTGCCGTGTTCAAAAACAAGTGGGCCGGCCGAAGCGAAACTAGGAAAGCCAGAAAACCATACAGAGAGACTGAGGAAGAACAGCTTATGCCATGTTTCACCGTGGGCAAAGTGACTGCGAATTTCACTAGTTTACTGAATTGACTTGCCAGCTACTTAAGTCTAGTGTATGTCACAGGTGTGCACCAATGATGCCCTTTTGCCTGTTGGCCCACTCACTTCAAGTTGCAATATACTTTTGCTTACATATGTATACGTATTTATTTTCATATCATATATGCATATAAGACAATGATGCGCGCAGATACATTCATATATGCATAGGGAATCTGGAACCTTTAGGGTTATGCACTCTTATCTGTGGTATGTAAAAGTCTCCATACCTCCGAAACTCACAACTGAGGTTGTTGTTGAGTACACCTTCTAGATATACTGCATCTTGCATCTATAAACCTCGCAAACCACATATGCCCACAAGCAACCTACAGCACCCAACACGCTGCTTTGGCCAATCTAGTAGGTTGTCCTGCTTGGTTCGGTTTTGGGGTTGTTGACCTTGGTAGAGCCAAGGGTGCATGGGCTTTGGGCGCCCATAAAAAGTTTCACGTGCCGGTGAACGCTGTGGCCAACAACATGGGCCATCGTCGCAGGCGGGGAGCCAGATTTACCAGGACCAGCTTGGCCTGAAGAAGAATAGCGCCGCAGACGTGGAGGCTCTGAGGACCGCCTTCGTCTTCAACATGGGCCTGATCTGTGAACCTGGGACTGGACATGCATGCGTGAAGCAAGCGGACCAAAATGAAATGCCAGCTCTGGGGGGGAGCGAAAGGGTGCTTAAACATGTTTCATCACGGAGGCGGCGCAACCCCTTTTGGCTGCTTCTTTTTGCTCTGCAAACAGTTGTTTAGCTGTGTGTGTGCCTTCCTGCAGTTCGGACTTCGGCCGAGGCCTACCTGTTCTCCTTTGCGCTCCTGCAGCATTTTCAGCCCATCGTGTACCTGAACAACTCCAGAACCGGACGCGCTCCTGAGCCCCGTCCATCCTGGTACGGATGCTGGCTGAGCTCGGCAGAAGTGCAACTCTGAAAGAAACAAAAACAAGTCGACCTGTTGACCTTTTTTGGGGTACATTTTTAGTCATGGCCCCTCAGGTTCACCTTTTTTCGTGCGTATCTCGGTACCCATTTTTAGAAGTGGATAGGGGGTCACCTGGAAAGTTTTTAGGTGTCCCATTGCGGGGCAACTGAGGCAAGAATACGCCGGCCTCGATAGCGCTTTGTTGGTGGATTTCTGCAACCTGGGCATGAAGATCTGCTTTTGCCTCGGCCTCCCCATCAGCGCCGTGTTGATTCCCATATACTTTTCCCTTGGCACGCACTACAGTCACTGGGCGCCTTTTTTTTTTTCTCCTCCGTCAACTTTGCTTGCCATTTGCTGCCGCTGGTTCAGAAGCCATTTGTTCAACAGCTGGCACCCGACCGAAAACGAAGTCGGTGTTCTTCTGTCAACTTTGCCTTTCGCTCCCCCCGGTCCCGAAGCCATTTGCTCGCCTGGTTCAGCTGGCGGGGAGAACGAGCTGAGGTGACTGTGGCCAAAGCGGAGCAATCGTGGGGCCTCGCAGCTCGCTGGACCTCCTCAGCATCGCCTCGCTTGGCTGCAACCAATCGGTGCGCTGCCCGGCCGATTTCCAGCAAACGGAAGTCAATGGGACGAGCAAAAGAAGAGGACACGGGATGGCCATTTCTGCTTGACCATGTCAAGTTTCGACTGGGCTGAAGCCGAAAGGATGCCCTGGCCCATTGCAAAAAAGCAAGGGTTGCCAAGCTTCCGATTGCCCTCACAGCCTCCGGAGCCAAAAAGGCGAGGGTTGCAAGAGCCCAGTCGTGGTGGGTAGCGTTTTGTTTCCACTTGGGTGCTTGAATGCCCTGAGCCATGTCAAAGAAGTCAACCCTCTGCGAGAACCACCTTGAATCTTACAGTCTTACAGGCTGGTTTGATCAAGCAAGTTTACTTCCTGGGGGTAAGTATGGGCGAGCACGCATGCTTGTACGCGAAGCTGCCAATCAAACATTTGAAGCTTCCAATGTGTGGGTTCAGCCTTCCTGTTAGTTGATCTGAGGTCATGTTGGCTGCTTCCGCTTTTGCATGTCAAGGCAGATACCGAGGGTTTTTGGCTTTAATGTTCTGATTAGGAGGTGACTTGGAACAGGAGGCATGACAAACCTTCTGGCTTTCCCATTTGATCTATGTAAAGTTATCTCTGCCAAGTTGTTGGGCAAGCAAATGGGTCATTCAACCAGCTTCCTACCTTGAGGAAGCTCGGAACGTCAGGCTTGAAAACATATGAAAAACCAATGGAACCCAGGGTTCATAGATCTTGGAGTGATGTTTTGAATGGGGCCCTTCACTCTTTGTAGAAGCCTCGCTTTTCATCCACTGGGCTGATTTCTCGGGGGCAGAGATTCATACGACGCATAACATGCATATATTATATCTTTCTAACAATCCTAATCTAATCCCATTTAATATCTATGCATATCTATGCATATCTATCCATATCTATCCATACCTATCCATATCTATCCGTCTGTCCATCTGTCCATCCATCCCTCCATCCAAATCTGCATCCCTGGTTTCCGGTCCTGGGGCCTCATGGCATGTCCCAGGCTGGTTGCTGGCCTTCTCCGTGTGGATCTGCGTGTGGGCCGTGCAGCGCCTGCTCTGGGAGGCCCAGATGCTCGTCCAGACTCGCGCGATGCGCGCGAGGTGGTTTTCCGGCCAGCTCTGGTGAAGGGTTAGTCTCCCACCAGCTAACATGGGTTGGTGCGCAGACCCCTGTAGAAAGACGACTTGCTTAAGAAGGGCCTTCTTACGCTTCCATGTTAGTTGGTGGACGTTCCGCTGAAAAAGGGCCTTCTTGCACTTCCATGTTAGTTGGTGGGAGGGTAGCCACTTAGGGTTAACCTCATGTCCCCTAACATGGAACCCGCCACCGGGTCCGTTTTACAGAGAAAGTAGTCTCAGTCAGGTTCCATGTTCGTGGACGGGAGGTTCGCCTCACTGCGCAGGACTTAGAAGTGGGTGATAACGGTGCTACTGATGATTACATGCACAAGGGTCGTACCATCATAGCGCCAACTTGGCTGACCCAAGTACCTATATTTTGGCACATTGGCATTTGTTGATTGGATGGTATCTCACGAACATTTTTCTTCAAACCAACTAGTTTGTAGCCAAAAGGGCTGCCTCAGAAAGAGAGACATACCCATGCGTTCCTTTTTTTTTGGGGACAGCTGAACAAGGGGACACAAGTTTGAGAGAGCACCGATATGATTGATTTGTTCATCTCTTTTCACATTTGCATCGCCAGAAAGGTTTGGTTGGTTGGTTGGTTGGTTGGTTGGTTGGTTGGTTGGATGGATGGATGGATGGATGGATGGATTGGTCAGGCCTGGAACCCGCAGGTTCGTTTCGAAGCGCGGCTTCCATTGTCCTCTCTTTCCGCCTTGCCCCTGCGCTTCCTTGAAAGATGTTGCGACCTGGCTCCCCTGCAACTTCCTCATGGAAGCAGCTTTTGCTTTGCTGCCAAATGGGAATGTGGATCTCCCCAAAATGCGGCCACGAGAGGCATATCCAACGCCCGAAAGCCGTTTCGGGATTCCAGGTTAGGTATTGCGCTTGTTTCCATGGCATGGACCCCTCAACAGCGGTGGACCTTTTTTCTTACCTTTCAGTTTGCATGTTTGTCGGTAGGGTAGAGGGGACAAGGGGGGGCCGCAGGTGTCCTGTTAAGTCAACTGGAGGTCAAAGGCTGGAGGTTGCAACATAAGCCCGATAGTTCAGTGGCGGGTTCCCCATCCAATGAAAATTGTCAACCGGAAGGCAAACCAGGGTTGAGAAAGTGTCTTTTTCTAGGCCCCAAAAAAACAATGATAAGAAAAAAGGTGTCATTTTCCTTTTGGCTCTTCCCTTTAACACCACCCCCAAACCGGTGCCAACTCAAAAATTAGGACGGGCCGGGACCCGCCTGTCGTTTTCCTTTTGGCTTCCCTTTAACACCACCCCAAAACGGGTACCACCTCAACAAAAACGAGGTCCCCCAGTAGTGCCCTTCTACCCTTTTTGGAGTGAGTTCCACCACTAAAATAGACTACGGAAAAAAGTTGGGTACCAACTTATTCTAACCTCTCTACGGGAGGACCTAGAAAACTTTGGTGCATTTTACTTGGATGTTAGGACTTTAACTTTGTGCAAACTAATGGGTTTTCCGTATTAAACCGCTAAAAGTGAAACTTTTAGCAGGGGAGCAGAAAGCAACCGAGAAAAGACCGATCCACGGGGACCTGGGTCCCCTCGTCTAAGGAAGAGCTTCGTGCAGCGTCGCATCGCCTGGCTCCAGCAGCGCCCCAAGCCGCAGCTCGGATATCATGTTGATGTGAGCATAGATGTTCCATCTGGATTTCCCTGTCCCTTGCTGGCCTTAGGCAGTCCTCAACGGTGCTGGTGGCCAACATCCCGCCACGGCACCGCTCCTCGGCTGAAGCTGCATGGGTTTGCGGAAGGCAACTTGGGGAAGGTGCTGCGGCGGTTTTTGTTTAATGTAAGGGGTTAATCTCCTTCCAATTATTTAGATATCTTAAAACTTGCTGGTTGGGAGATGTCTCCTTCCAACAAGGAAATGGACCGGGAGGTCCTCAAAAGGAAAGGCAGTCCATCCTATTCCGCCAGTTGCCATGCGGCAAGAAACGCTGGCTGATCATGTTAGTTTGGTTGAAGAATAGAGGGCCCCGGTTTAGCTGGTGGTTCAATCAACTACCAGGGCCAGCTATTGCGGCTGATGCTTTGGAGGGTCTCGGCAGGCTCGGACGCGAAGCTGAAGAACTACTTCCAGCGCCTCTTCCCGGAGAACGTGGAGACGGTCTACGTGGTGAAGCAGCTCTCCTCCCTCGCGGAACTGCTGGAGGAGTTGCCCGGATCAGGTTTTGTGGGGCGGAAGTCTTGGGGCCAAAGCCTGGGTTTAGGCATGTTTAAACCAAATATTTGCAGGCACCTGTTCTCAAGTTTTTACTCTTTGGGTCTTTTCCCCCTCTAAACCCAGCTTGGAGGGCAAATTTGAGCACTTGAATGAACCCAGACAGTGGCTGCCTGCCTTTTGCAATCACAGTTGACTGGAGGATCTGGGCCTTTTTTTTTTAAATATCAACCACTGCAGGATCAGACAACACCCATTTGAATAGCAACCGCCACACCGCGCTCTCCTGAAAAATGAGAGCACGGAGAAACAGCAATCGCTAAAGGAAGCCACGCAACAAGCACCAACCACAAACACACAAGCAAACAAAGAAGACATACAGAAGCGAGCGAGCGAAGGAGCGAACGGAAGCAAGACACACATGGCTGTGGGTCCAAAAAGGCACCCAAAATGGAACACTGGTAAATTGAAATATGGACTAAAACCTGCGGTCCCCTGGTGGTTTAATTTTGACCCACAGCCACATCATGACTGCCGTTGACAACGTTGCAAGGTACGACACCGCAGAGCAGCGTCTTCACGAAGCGCTCTACCAGTGGCAGCTCCACAATCAGGATGGGCTGAAGCGGTTGCAGAGTGAGGAGGTGCCTTCGTGAGCCTCCGGCCAAGTAACATGGAACCTGACATGGCTGAGTTGTGAAATCTTGAAGCGTCCAGCATGTTTGGACGGTTGGCTGAAGAAGCCCACAAGGTTCTTCGAGCCATTCTGCCGTCGTCATGCCTTATGCCCTTCACGTAGTCAATGCGGGTGTGTGCTTGTATATGTAGACATGTATGTATGTATAAATATATATATATATATATATATGTAATTACCTGTGTATGCACATCAAGTATGTCAGTGTGTAATCCACCACGCAGATGCAGCTGACGCCCCGCTGTTGGAGTCTGCGCTAGGAGGCAGACCAGCGGCCAAAGCTGATCCTCGACAAGGATGCAGATCCGGTGGACAGCATTGAGCACTACACTCGCCTCATGGAATCTTGCCCCGCGCTGGGGCCAGGGTTTGGGTGTTGCAAAACAGTGGATCAAACAGCTGTCCAAAGATAAACGCCACCTACCAAGTGTACAGTGTACCTTATCCTGTTTTGCAGGCTTTGATTGAGAAACTATCCCCACCAACCAACCTACATCCCTGCAGCAGCCATGTGATGTTACATGCATGGCAAGGGCTGCCGGCCTGTCATTTGGTTCCAACAGCGAAGATTGTCACAGCCTGGTTGCAGGGGCATCATTCCCAAGGTCCAAGCCGTCCAGTCATGGTGCTATGTCTCGTGTGCTTTTTGTGCCTGAAGAGCCTTTGCCACGAGTAGGCTCCGTTTGGCTTGCCCATTTTTCGCCTACCGGTTTGACATGTGACGCATGCCCATGATTGCTGGTGCTCAGTGGGGAATGACCTTCCGGGTTTTGGGAATGAACCGTTTTTGGGGGGCTTCCCCGAAAGCCAAATCGGGGATGATTTTTCCTCGGGGTCATTCCATTTCTCATTCCTTCCCTACCTATCGAACCCGCTGCCGCATGCGACCTGGTTGTAAGTCGATTCCCGGTAAATACTGCCTGAATGATTCCTCTGAATTCTTTGTTGGTATTGTTGATGCAGGCCACCAGTTGACTTGATTGCCATGGGCTGTGATCTTTAGACTCTAGACTTTTTGGGAAAACAAGGGTTTCCCATTTTGGGTCAAAACCAATGGTACCATTTTGGGGTAGGTGCACCACCCATTTTAGTGGTTGGATTGGGATGTTCACCGGGGGTACGATTTGGATTTTGACCCATTGCCATTTGACCCTCAAAAAGTCGAACGTTTTGCCTAGGGGTCACCAGCCGCCAGTGGATTGCTCAGGAGCACTTGCAGCGCCTCATTGAAACCGAGCGCGCGCGGATCCGCAGCGCGGACAACTTCACGCAGGAGCGAAAAAGCGCCCGAAGGGACGCCGCAGGGCTGGGTGCCGTGTTGTGTGTGAGAGTGTGTGGTTTTTCTTCTTCTTCTTCTTCTTCTTCGGCGTTGTTTGTTTTTGGGCGAAGGGATGGAGGCCATGCTTTTTGTTTTCTGTTTTCGTTGGTTTTGTTTTGTTGGGTGGGGGGGGGGGCTTGTGTTCTGAGATTCCAGGGATTGTCAAAGTCAGGAACAAGGATTCCGCCTCTTTTTGGCCTACTTAAAAAAACTGACTTTTTGCCGATGGTCAAATGCATGTCTCCTGGATGGAGGTAAGATACATGATAGAGTTGTTTTTTTAATGAGGCACACATCTCCAATCATGTCTCAATCACGTATCCCAATTGCTTTGCGGACACTGAGTCTTTCGGACGCACTGCTAGTGCCGGGAGTGGCGTTGCCTAATTGAGCCTACCGAAATTTGGTAGGGCGTGTCGGTAACAACAGAATCGACGCGCCCCTCAACCCTAGCCGCAACGCATTCCTGTTTAGAAAGTCCTCTTCCCCACGGTTCTTTTAATGCCGCTGTTGTCGGCTGCCAAAAGAAAGGTACCCCATCAGCTGCTGCGCATGGGCCTCGTATCAAGTCTCTCGCATTTTCTTTGGTTAACCAACTTGTTGGTCGTGCTGTATGGTTCCTCCAAATTCCCTTTTGCCGATCCATTGGCATGGAGTGACGCCCCCAGAAACTCCGGGGACACGAATCCGGTGTTTGCAAAGAAGGGTTGGTCCGGTACCTTTTTACTTGGCTTGGGGTGGAGTGGTGTGGGTTCCTGTACAGGGTTCATGGGAAACCACCCCTCAAACCACCAATGTTGACCCAGTATCAATAAACCCGTCCCATCAGTAGGGGGTGTTCCCTCCAAAAGCAGCCTGAATCCCCACTGAAAGGAATCGGACACCCCTCCTATAAATCAACCAGGGGTTCTGCTTAGATCCGGGGTCAACCACTACCATCCCTCGCCTCAACTATCAACCAGGGGTTTATTACTCCGAGTGGTTGAGTTGGTTCCTGTAGAGGGTTCATGGGAAACCCCCCCGCCAAGCACCAACCCAAGCCTCGCCTCGACTGCTCGGCTCCTGGCCCTCGGCTCCAGGAGTCTCTGTGCAGCTCCTCGGCCTTCGTGACCTTCAAGTCCTCCCGCGACGCCGAGATGGCGCTGAGGCTGCGCCTGGAGCCCGAAGGCGCGGGATGTGAGGGGAGCCGGCGGGGAGCGGAGGGGGAGGGGGGGCTGGGGGCGGGTTTATGCGGGTTTTGGGAGCCACGGGAGGGGGGTAGGTTTTGGCGATGAGGATGGGGTTTTGGCGTTTTTTTTTGGTTGCGAGAAAAAGGCGGCCCCCGCTCCACGTATAAAGGCGCGCAAGGAGCCGAAGAAGCTGGCACTCGTAGAAAAAGCACATGTCATGGTGAGTCGTTGTGCCTTGAACAGCTGCTAGCGACGTGGCACAAGTCGGCGGCAGGGCCGGCAGAGCTTGCCGCGCAAGTTGGCGCCGAGGCCACGTGTTCACGATGGAGTACGCGCCGGCGCCGAAGGATGTGGCATATGATGATCTGCTGGGCTCGCCTCAGAGAAGGCAAGACGTAAGGGCTGGATTTATGTTTATGGATGCAGAGGCGATCCTGCATCACTTCCTTGGGTTCAGAAAGGGGTCCTCTTTGTAGTGGTTTGCCTTGTGGGTTTGGATTAGGGTTGGCCAAGAGTTTTGTGGTTGGCTTTCCTATCTGCCGAGCCATGCTGTGATATCCGCACTTAACAAAGGGAAGTTTAATCCATTTAGATCTCAACCCGACTTGCAGCCATTGGCAGGCAGCTCTGGCATTTCCTGGGCTTTGTGATGATCATTGGCGTCTTCCTCTTCTGGTTCCCGCTCATCGGGCTGGCCTCATCCATTGTGAATCTGGAGAACTTGGAGCAGATGCCTGATCTGCTGGGTTTCCGTTTTGTTTCTCCCTTTTATCTTTTTATTTTGGTTTGGGGAGGGAGGGCTGAAAGAAACAGTGGTGGCCCCCATAGCCCCATTGGGTCTCAGCTGGGCTAAGGATACAGGTGGTGCACCAGATTCTCACGACCTCGCCCTGGCTGCAATCACTGCTCGAAGGTATCTTTGCGACTCTTTTGCTGTCCTTGTTCATGGGATTTCTCCCAAGTGCCCTGAGCGCCATCATCAGCAGCACCTTCACCTTTACCTCCAAGGCCGAGAGTCAACTTGAGCTGCAGCAGTGGTACTACTGGTTCCAGGTGATCTTTGTTTTGCTGGTGACGGCGGTTGGCACCTCGCTGTGGCAGCGTTTCAACGACGTACTGGCGTCGCCGAAGGGAGTGCTCTTTGACTTGGCCAACAGCCTGCCAAACACCTCGACCTTCTACATGAGCTACGTGATCCTGAATTGGTCTTTGTCTGTCTTGAGCCCTGGCGCGAACCATTTTCTTTACGCGACGCAAGTACGGCAGGCCGCTTCGGCCGCCTGGGCCATGTTTTGAGCGGCTGCTTGAGCTGAGGAACGCCCTGCGGTACCAGAACATCATCAAGTTCCTCGCGTGGAACGCCGTTTGCGAGGAGGACCGTGCCAAAGCCAAGTCGGAGCCAGAGGACCCTGACTACTACGGCGGCCTGGCTGCGGGCCTTTCTGACGCAAGGCTTTGATTCATGTCCACCCCGGATGTGTTGGAAGCCGGTGGACTATGAGGGCCCCCCCCACAAAGTGAGTTGGGTTTCCCTCCAAAATGGCACCCCCCCCCCAGGGAAGATCAAGCAGGGGTTTGTTAATCCTGGGTTCCGGATACCTCTTTGACTCGTGAAGAGCCATTGGCCGAGATGCTTTCCAGGGCTGAATTCGTTGACAATGGCACACCCGTCGCTTGTCAGCAGGTTGGAGGCAAGCCCCTTGTTGCAGGTGTAGTGAGGGCAGGGATAGAACTGAATTTGGGTTGCTCGCCTGCTTGCGCCTGGAAGGTGGACATTCTCCGTGATGTCGTTGTTTTGCTCTTCTTCTCAAGCACACTCCCCCACCCCCTCACCCCCCCCCCCCCGCCCCCTCACCCCATTCCCCTCACCCCACCCCCCCCCCCCCCCCTTTTTTTGGTGAAGGGAGTGCCAGGCATTGGCTCGCGGAGTGCACGGCTCAGCTTGATCATGGCCATCGGTCTGGTCTTCAGCCTGCTGAGCCCGCTGACGCTGTGGGTGGTCTTCGCCTTCTTCTTCATCAACCGCCTGGTCTTCAGCAGGGGCCCCGATCTGCGTGCTCTAGCGGGGGGCGAAAGAGCAGGGGGGAGAGCCTCCAGAGAGACAAAGAGTACTTGCCTCATGCCAACCACTGTGTTGCGGTCTTTTGGGGCGGTCAATCCTTGAAGGCAATACGAAACCAAGCCAAGCTGAACCAGCCAACATGAAACCCAGCCAACATGAAACCCATCCAATGTGAAACCCATCCGAAACCCATCCAATGCGAAGAAACCATTAAGCCAACCATCCCGTGAATCACACCCGTGGCACTTTTGGAGGGAACACCCCCCTAAAAATTGGGACGGCTTCATTCATCTTGGGTCAACATTGGTGGTTCGAGGGGTGGTTTCCCATGAACCCTCAGGAACTTCCCAAATTCCACTCCAAACCAGGTAAAAAGCTACCAGCCCAACCCCTGGCACTATGACTCACCTATCTGAAGCTATGGAGCTGAGGCTACCTGGTGGTCTTCGCGGAGACGCAGAAGCAAGACATGGGCGGCAAGTTCTGGGCGTTGCAGCTGCGACATGTGCATTTGGCCCTGCCCATCTTCGCCGGGGGCTGAATTCGCGGCCTGAAACGGGCTGGAGTTGGTGGGCATTTTTTTCACTACTGGACAGATTTTTCCAGGGGGATTAAGCAAATGGAGGGGAAGACTGTATTTGGAAGAATGCATTTGTAATTTTCGTGTTATAATGTTTTCTCGGTGGGTGGGTGGGGGGGGTTGTAGCATGAGGTGTGCTCTCGAATTGGGGCAGGCAGCAGTGGTGCGCGGAGCAAGGAAAGGCTTCAGCACGACCTGTCATTAGGGCCTGCATGCATGGCAAATGGTTGTCGTTAGGGCACATTTTTGCTTATTGTGGTTTAGTGGAAAATCCAACCTTAACTGCTAATATTTATTTTTTGCTCCCCATTCCAACGTCAACCAAGTGTTGTTGTGGGCTGTCACCAGCATGGCTGGGCAAACAGGGTGTTCAGCAATTGGGCCTTGGGCCTTGGGCTCCGTTTGGAATTGGAGCCTAAGTGCGGAGGTTTGAACATGTGGTTCCAACTTGTTTTGCAGATGGTTGGTCCAAGGATGGCCCACCGGATGCATCCAACAGCCAACCCAACCTGAGGTCGCCGTGATGAGTGGCTGCATCTGGACGGAGCCCTATGGCGGCCCTGGCATGTTGGCGCTGCTGAGCTTGATGCTGTGGGGCTACGAGCCCAAGCCTTGCAATTGGCGTTTGTGTTTCTTCGTTTCTTCTTCTTCTTCTTTTTTCTCCTTTTTTTTGGTTTCAGATGGTCCTGGTAGTGGTGTTCTACTGCGTAGCTCTGGGCCAAAACGCTCGAAGGAAGATGATTACCGAGCGGCGGTGTTTTGTTCGTTCCTCTGTGCTTGCGATGCGCCCAGGGCTATGTAGAACGGGGCGTGGCCCACTTAGACCGCCAGATGGGTGGATTCTGAGACCTGCCATGGGCCCGCGCAAGCTGTGGCGTTTTTGCGTGCTGAGGGCAGTCAAACAAGGAATCAACAAACTGTCCATCAGATTCTGGCCAGATGCTGATGATCATCCTGACTTTATCATCTTTTTAGGTGGATTACCCAAGAAAGCTGGGCACCAAGGAGCATAGGTGTCCTTTTTAGGTTAGTTTGATTAGACATAGATGGGTTCCACTGGTTTAGATGGGCTTGCTTTCATTTACCGCCATCTCTTCTTCCAAACGGCCACCCATGCTAAGGGGTTTGTCCCTAGGTTGGTTTGGCTAAGGAGGAGTGTCTCCTTTTTTAAGAAAGCCGGGCACCAAGGAGTACTCGCGGTGGTCCGACATCCTCTGGGAGACGTTGCCCTTCCGCGCGGTGGTGGAGGGCGCGGAGAGCGGCCTCGCCGCCTCGGAGGAGAGCTACGTGCAGTCGGAGCTGACGCGGGACCTGCGGGCCGCTCCGGCCCTGAAGGCCGGATAGCTGCACGGACGGCGGATGGCGGATGGCTTGGTGCACACTACAGGTTTGGACCAGAGAGGCTGGGCGGCGGTGTGAAGGAGAAAAGTGGGGGGGTCGCGCCTGGGATGGTGGCTCCAAAGTCAAGAGCTAAGGGTTACGCGGTAGGCTTTGGCTCCATTTACCCAAGGCCGTTTTGGTACATGTTTTGGAGCCACAGCTATTTGGGGCCAGAAAATCTGGACGGCGTGTGCCAGAGGACAAAGGAGACAAGTGGGAAGGGCCGCGCCTGGGATGTTGAGGGTGCGTTCCCGTGCTCAAGCCGGGCGCTGGGCGGGTGATGGAAGCCTGCTGAACCTGTGACTGTTACATGGGACACCCGGGTCCCGGCACCTGTCGATGATTTCTATCAAAACTCGTGTGCTTGGCAAGCTGGCCACGCGTTTCCGTCAGTCTTTTTTTTCTTGGATCCTTGGGGCAGGTTCTTTGGTCAACGCCAGGCTAGCTGCACTCCTGCAGACAGTGGTCAGTGGCTTCTCACCCACGAGTGCCGATGTTTTTTGTGGTATCGTTGACTCTCCGAGAAAAAAGCTTGCTGCTTGAATGTCCATGGCTCAGAAAAGCCTCTGAACAGGGCATGGCGCCTTTTGCCTCGCAGGGTTGGGCCATTCTACAGAAGCTTTTGGTTTCCCTCTTTCTGTGGCCAGGGTGTGGTTCAGCAACAAATTTCGCCCAACCTTCTCCGAACTTGCGAGCCAAGGAAGGATGACGTCGCCTCCAGGACTGCCATGATGGCCAGATGGCGCCGTGCAACACAAAACAAAGTCCACACATAGGAACTGCGGAGTAGCTGAAGCGAGAATCATAATGTCATTATAGCCACACATTGCAGAAAATTAATGGGTGAAGTTGGAAAAGGAATGCCGAGCGAAGCCTCCTCCTGAAACCAGGGGCAATGAATGACTGGCGAGGAGCTTCCGGACATTCTACGAATGCCACTTGCGAGAGGGAATCGGTGCCCTGGCAAGCAATGCTGCCCTTTGCCGCGGCTCTTGGCAAGCTGTGAATGCAGCACATGGCTCATGGCTCATATGGGTTTGGGTCAAAATTAACCCACCAGGAACCGCAGATTTCAGTCCTTGTTTCCATTACCAGGGCAACCCATTTTATGTACATATGTTTGACCCACACCCATATTCTTTCCTTGGAAAAGCCAGGTGCGGCCAGGGGCTCATGGGAAAGCGTTCCACAGATGCCCCCGTGCTCGTTTCGGCTCAGAGCCGGCCGGTTTTGCCCCCGCCATGGGGCGCAGTTGAAGGCGATGGCGCGCACTTGCGTGAAATGGAGGGATGGCCCTTCAGACGGCCAGACCCTTTGTTGCTTCCAAAAAGGCAAGCCTGGGACCAGCTTGAGTCAGTGTGAAGGGTCCGATGTTTTGCAGATGTGGGGCAAAGCTTCTCGGCCTGCGCACGGGCTCAGCCTATCAATCTTCCAAGCGCTTAAAGGGACAGACAAAGTATCATGAGCCCTGTTTGGGAGCCCGGCTGATCATGCCAGAACCCGCCCAGAACTGCACGCGGCGCAGGCTGCTTTGCTGCACTCGAGCCTTCGGCCTGCAGCTCTGCTTTGGGCGGCGCTTGCAGGGTGGCTTTTTCGCCTTTGGGGAAGTTGGGGGGGATTGCGGGTCTCGCGTAGCATGTGCCGCTGCAGTCTTTGCTCAAGTGAAGGTGGGGGGGGGGGTGCGCCCAGCATCGCCCGGCTTGGGCATGGGGGATGCCTTTGGCGCAGGGCCACAAGCCAAGCGACTGGCAGGCCGCCTTGTGCCACGTGGTCTCCGGCGTGGGCAGCGATTCGCGGCGGCAATGCAGCGCTGCCATCAAGAGCGCGGCGCAGAGTGGGGCGTGGCGGCTGGCCCCGGCGATGTTGGCCATGGAGACCTGGGATGCGGCCAGCTACAATGCTGGGATCACCGCCCTGGGCCGGTGCCAGTTCTGGCACCGCTCCTTGCAGATCTTGGCAGGCATGCGGGCTTGCCAGGTGTCGCCCACCGGCGTCTCCTGCGGCGCCGCCGTCAACGCCTGCCGCGCACGGTGGCGGGTCACGGTGAAGCTGCTGCAGGAGATGGCAGGTCTGAATTTGCGCCCAAACCTCATCTCCTGCAACTCTGCCATCACGGCGTGTGCCGAGAGCTCTCAGTCTAAAGCCGCCCTGGCCATGTTGCGGAACATGCCGGCCCAGGCGCCAGTCGCGAGTTCGCGAGTTGCGAGCAACGGCCCAAACAACAAAGCAGGCGGTTTCCAACATGGCGCCGACTGTGCAAGCTGAGGGCCCGCCCCACCCCACCCCACCCCACCCCACCCCACCCCACCCCACCCCACCCCACCCCACCCCACCCCACCCCACCCCACCCCACCCCACCCCACCCCACCCCACCCCACCCCACCCCACCCCACCCCACCCCACCCCACCCCACCCCACCCCACCCCACCCCACCCCACCCCACCCCACCCCACCCCACCCCACCCCACCCAACCTCCCCAACCGAGCCAATCCTACCCAGCCGACCGCCCCACCCATCCACCCGCCGCCCCGCCCCGCCAGGCGCTGGCCCCAGACTGCGTGAGCTTCAGCGGTGCCATGGCGGCGGGCGGCTGGCGCAGCGCTGTGTCCCTGCTAGCGGAGATGGGCGCCATGGCCGCCGCCCGGCCGGTATCTGTGGGAGGGGGCGCCCTCCAAAAATGGGAGGGAGGCCCCGGCAACGGCCGCTTTTTTTTTGGGGGGGTGGGGGGCGCCTCAAAATGGGGGGTCCGCGCTTTTTCCATGTTTTTTTGAGTAGAGACCTCCAAAAGTGGCGGTTTTATTGGAAGCTGCCAGTAAGTTGGTCAACTTTTGAAGGAGGAAATCCAGTGACCCCTCTCAAAAAAGGGTTGCGTTTGGTTTTCCCTTAAACCAGAACAAAACGTTCGAGTCTCATACTGTGGCTGGACAAATTCCACTTTGCACTACGAGGCCCCGATGGCATGCACCAATGCTTAGCATGAAAGGGGGGCATTTGTGAGAACCCGTTCAGGGTCGCCTCCAACCTGATTTTGCAGGAAGCAAGAAAGGGGGGGGAGTAAATGGGGAGAGGGGTTAGTTGTCCAAATCAATCCTTCACCCTGCCATGGTAGTAGCTTCCAAGTGTAGTAGGGGGGTGCCAAGGATTGCGGATTAGGATCCAGGATCCCTCCATTTTGAGCAACCCAGGCATTCTCATAAGTACTTGGGTATGTTTTTTTAACGTTGGATCCTCCCCCCCCAAAAAAAAGAAAGGAACACGAGAAGAAGCGGTAGTTCAAAACCACCAAGCAAAAAGGGTTCCCTCAACACACAGCCCCCCCCTACTCGTCGCCTTTGTATCGTGTCAGGCTGTTCCATTGCTTCCACTTAACTCATGAGGTTTGGTTCTTTTTACCATCCCATGAAACCTAGCAGAAGGCCCCGGCTCTGCTTGAAAGCTCAATCACCTTTGCTTCTGTTTTCAGGTTGGGCCCTTCAGACCATGGTTTTGCTTTTGGTTCGAAACCACCCAAAAAGGAGTCCCCTCAAAAAAGGACACACCCATTTGAAGCCCCTCGTGAGGTTCTGGTGGACGTGGTGTGCTGCAGCTCGGCGATCACCTGCTGTCAGAGGGCCTCTCAGTGGGCGCACGCCCTGCACATCTTGGCCTCCGCACGCTCCGAATCGCTGGTGCCGGACATGTACAGCCGCTCGCCTGACTTGGCCGAGCGGGGCGGCTTTGGGGCAGCGGGAGTGCTAAGCGTGAAGGGCCCCAGGTTTGAAGAATTCCTTGCCCCCCATAAAAAGCGCCTCCCCCCCAAATGAAGTCACATACCCCGGAGATGTTTTCTTTTTTTTTTTGCGGTTTTTAGGGGTTTGGGGGTGTCCAAGTCAGGTTTTTGGTTCACTTGCGGGGGGGGGGGGGGAGGTCCAATCAAGCTTGGTGACCGATGGAAGGCTGGAAGAGATGATGGTCGGAGATAACGAGCGTCTGGTCTTGGCATCAGTTTGGGCTATTGTGACTTCGTCTTGGGCCCCCGCGCGGTTTTGGACAAACATGTGGCTGTGGCTCAAAATTAAACAGGGGGGGGTTATGCGGGTTTTAGTCTTTGGTTCCATTTACCAGGGTTCCATTTTGGTACCGTTTTTTGAGCCACAGCCTATTTTTAGGGGCCGCTTTTTCTTTTCGGGGGAACGGATGAGGCTTCAGCGCCGCCATCACCGCCCAGCAGCAATGGCGCTGGGCGTTGCTCATCAAACCCGCCGCCATGAACCAGGTGGTCCTCAGCAGCGTCATCAGCTCCTGTGAGAAGGGGAGGCGCCAATCGCCGGTTGGACCCAGAAGTTTCCTGTTCAAACCATGCGTCCAGATGGCTCTGTGTGTGTGTGTGTGTCAAAATAGGTGGTGGTTTTGTGTGTGTGTGTCAGAATAGGTGGTGGTGTTTTTCCTTCTTTTGGTTTCACTCCAAACCAATCTGAACCCTCAAACAAACACCCAGATGGCCTAGTTTGCTGAGCGAAGCTTTCTGAACCAGTCTGAGCTGGCTACCTTTGAAATAAAACCAACAGATGGCGCCGAGTTTCGCCAGGCAGTGGCAGCTTGCCCTCCTCACCTTGCACCAGGCGCCTTTGGAGCGGCTGGTCCCAGATGTCTTCAGCAGAAGTGCCGCCATCAGCGCCTGCGACTGGCGACTGGCGTTGGGCATTCTCAGATCCCAGCACTTGCCCAGTGAGGTGAGCCGCCTTCCAAACCTATCTTTTTTCCAGGGGAAAATGAGCTTTGTACCTATTTTTTCAAAGATATCCAGAGATGGTTTATATATCCTAGAGTATCCGAGGGTCAATAGTTTGTCTATCGTAGTTCATTTGCTTTCATATATTTTCCTAATCCTTTCTTTGATATCAGAATTCGGAAGTGGTGCAGGATGGACTTTATATCCGCCGCTATCCACTTCTTTTATTACTTGATCACCTTCAGGCACATGACATCTTAGATTAGGATTATTAATCTCTGATATATCTACATGTCTTGCATCTCCTAGCTTTAGGACACTGATTCTAAATCTGAGGTCTTATGATCTCATATTAAAAACTTTCCCATTACCAGTTTTGTCTTTCAGTTTCGCAGGTGGTCCTAGCTTCACGGAGTTGTCACCGTAAGACCCGTTCCCCGCGCGCAGGTGGTGTGCAGCGCGGCCATCCACGCCTGCAGCCAGTCCGGGCGCTGGGAGTGGGCCGTGGCCTTGCTGCGGGCCATGCGCCGCCAGCGGCTGCGGCCCGTACTGATCGCGCGGAACGCCGTCCTCCACTCCCTGGCCCAGGCGCGGGTCCGTGGCCCTGAGCCAGGGGGGCTGTGGGAGGAAGGTGACGGGGGTCACTCGGATTTGGAGGACTTTGAAGGAGGTGAGTTGTTTTTTCTCCTCAACTGGTTGTGGAAAGAACTGGGTTTTGGCGTAATTTTTTGGTCGGAAACTGCAAAGTGCTCACAAGGGTTGCCCATTTTGGTATCACAGAAAGGGTTATTTCCTGCAACCAGAGGCAGAGGTTCGGCAACATATGCGGTCCGTGGTCAACTTAGGAGAAAAATGTGGGCTGGCGAAGCAACTGTGGATAATCCAGTGTGTTGCTGTTCCTTGGGTTTGACTTCTTGAAAAGCTGAACCCTACTCTAAAAGCTGAGAGGCTGATGAGAGTTTTCTAAAGGCCACTGAGGCTGTGGCGCAATGGCAGCGCACCCTGAACCTGTTGTGGGGAGGTTGCAAACTTCATACAACTCATTCACTATGTTTGCAATTTTTGAGAACCTCAAAAAAGAAAATCCCTTTTTCCCTTGAGTCTTTCCAAGAGAAACGCGCCCCTCCCTGGACCCTTTGGTTCAAGCACTCCTTTTGTGGAAATGAACCCTGACACCATCCACCACCTGCCAAATCCCTCCGAAAGAAAGGCGAAGCGCTGGGAAGCCGCGCTGGCTGCCCTG